AATTACTAAAGTTCTATAGTCATAAAATTCGTTTCAAAACCCAAATTGTTCGATACCGAAACCCTTTAAAACTTAATGTAAATTTTCATAATTCCTTTTTAAAGTTCATAAATGATTGCTTATTTTAATGCTTACATTAGTAATTGATACATAAAATAGTTTATTAAACAACTTACATACAATTCTAAGCAATAAAAACATTTATTGCAACAGTCATAAAATAAACATAACAAAAATTGAATAACTATATTCTTTGAAACAGTCAATTTTTTTTTTAAATTATGGATAATTTGTTCGAGAACCGATATTTTGTTCTGTTAGCGTATTGTTCTAGTACCGAATTTACACTGTAATAGCATCTAAACCATTGTATTACAGAGGTGGTATAAATACATCTTTATATATACATTATCACGATTCAATGTCTATTTTTAAGTTGAAAATCAACATTTATCTAATAATTGGCTTTGTAGTGTGAAATTAAACGCATTTATCTCAAATATCGAGCGTCTTAACGAGTCCAAGATAAGTTAGGTCTCTGCGAACCGGAGCAAATTACACCAAATGTAGGTAAAAATGTCTATTTCTACAAATAAAATGATTAAAAAGTGATCCAATAGAGGTCTCTCAAATGCGAGGCTGTAAATTTGTAACAATAACATTTAATCGATTAGTGAATTAATGGCATTGAGGGCGCGCGTTTGATGCACCGCCAATTCTCAAATGCATTTCATTATGCGAACTCAAATGCGGCAGCCACGTCTTTGTCTTTCGGGCAACATCAACAAGTTTCTCTTCATGTTTTACCCATTCACTTGACTTTCTTCTCCATCGCAGCACGTTCCCTATCTCCCTTTGTCTATGCCAACGCATTATATAACATTATCACGGCTTGAACTTTGCTGAAAAGCCTCAGCGCAAAACAAATGCCAAACACAATTAAAGGGGAGTGCCGGGCTTCAGCGAGGACGGTGATAACAGCACCTTTCCTCCACCATCAGCAACCGCAGCCATCTCACCACCACCCGGTGCGAATGCAAGAAGGATAAAAGGGCAATTCTGCTGCGAAAAGAAAACAATTTAGATCCCTTCATCGAGATACATTTTAATGATGCCGGAGGCAAAACTTTTAACGTTATCAACGCTTCTGAAAATTTACCTTTCTCGACGATTCTGTGCGAAAGAGGGAATAAGTGTGGATATCAGAAGAAGACAAAAGGATAGTTGATTAATCTTTAGCTATCGCGTATGAAATCTTATATCTTAAACGAAATCTCGACCTTTTGCTGATAATCCAAAATAACGCTCGACACACTCATAATCCAAAACAGTCGATGATGACTACAATTTTGACTTCGCGTGACCTACATTGTGCTGATGTTATGAAAATAACACATGATATAAACGTGCGGCAATTAGTTCTAATCCTACTTTAGCGCAATACGTTTCAAATTGGGGAAAAACAACATTAGGAATCTCAACTTTTCTATAAACCGGTTTGTGATAAATTGAGATAATATATATTTACAACTTAATTTAAAACTTTTCAATATATTTAGACAAAAGTAAAAGCAATGCTATATCATTGAATATCACATAAAAAAAATAAATTTATCTCAGTTTTGTATTAAAAAAATGCCAGAAAGAGAAAAAATTCTCTCCTTTTTAATGTATGGACTAATAAATTTATTTTATTTTATCTTCTGTTTGTACCCTTTAATACTAAATATTCATTTCTTCCAGTTCTTGAATATATTTATGTATCGATTTTCAACACATTTTTCATCATCGCAGTTATTTTCAGCGGTACCCAAAGTTTTTCGCCCTTAATATTTTTTTTCCGCGGAGCCCCATGTCAAACTCAGGTCAAATTATGTCAATAATAGTTTTTCTTCAATTTTTGCGACGGAGCATAGTTTAGGAATCCCTTTAATATGGAATAATTTGTATATAATTTCGACAAAATTTATCTAGATAACTTAATGATATTAGATTTTGCAGCTAGAAATACGTCTTTATCCAAACGTTATGTAGATTTTGTAAATAAATGAGAAGTGTTACTAATACCATTTGTCTTCTCTCTTGAATTCCTGTCTAGCATAAAATAATTTCAGTTTGAAAATTGTTCAATTCACGTAACAACATATTGAATATTTCAAATATATTTTATGGTTAGACTCAAAATCCGTCTTTATAAGTTGAAAAACATTGATTTTCCAATAACTGTGTTGCGAATTTTGGTTTTGTAGTGTGAAATAAAATTCATTTATCTTTAATATCGAGCGTCTTAACGAGTCCAAGACATATTAAGTCAGGGTAAAATTACCCCAAATGTGGTAAAAAATAATATTTTTTGCGGACGTTTAAAATTTGTTATTTGCAATAACCTACTTATGCTAACAAGAATTTTCTCCTTTAATTAAGATAAAAACATTGCAGAGAAATCGACAGGACTTTGAAAACAGGACTATCTTAGGTGCCTGGGACCCACGATGTATTTTAGCGTATACGAGAATTTGTGGGGCCCACAAAAAAATATTAGAATTGAAGAAAACATATGTTGATGTCCCCTTGTCAATCTAAATGCATCCATGCCCGAAGACTGTTGGCAAAAATTAATAAAATTTGGGGTAATAGGTGTTCACAGACCCCTGTTTCAAATAATTTTTAATTCTTCAGTGTTATACATTTAGCCTTTATGAAATATCTCACATTATCGACTCATCAATTTCAGCGTCTTTGACTGTTGTGTTAAGAAATCAACATCAAATATCACTTTAGTAACCTCAATCTTCATTTTTGTAGTCTATGTCAAAATTTACCCTAAACTAATAGCTGAAATTGTCAAAAAATAGCTTGACATTGACAAAAGTCCCTTAAAACATACATCTATTTGTGAAAACCAAAATTTCTCAACCCATTATATACATTTCTTTAAAAAAAACTGTAATCAACATGAATGTGAATGGGTTAGGTCATCGATAGAATTCTATTTATGACTATAAATAGTTACGTTTTGTGTTTCGGAAGGGAATGCGGGCATATTTATAAATAAAAAATAACGTATAAAGCTTTTCGTGTCGACGCTGAAATGGTAAAACGAAATATTTGCTCCATCACAAAATATATTTATTGCGCTGATAATTTTCACTTCACGCTCGGCCTCCGAAAAATAATCAACGCGAAATCCACAAACGAACGTAAAACAATTCCATTTGCAGATAATTTGCAAATAAAAATTTTGGATTGAACAATATTATGGATTAAAGTCGTACACAATCGAATCGGTTTATTGTTGAAATTAGTTTCAATTGAATATAAGTGTTTTTTTTTAAATTTATGTTTATTAGTTTTCGTGCATTTAATTTGCCATTGAAATAATGTTTGATAATTTACGGTATTAATAATGAATAAATGATTTTAATTTGATTTCTAGTATAATTTGGTTTTGACTGATCACATTATTTGGGTCAATTAAACACTCAAATTAGTGTAGACAAATGAATTATTATTTAATATTAATTATGTTTACGAACAGTGAAACGTAAACTATTCGTTTTTAATGATGTATGCACAAAATTACTTAAAATAAATAATTATTTTTTATACAATTAGAATTTATATGTAATTAAATGGGAATTATAATAGCAATATTTGAAAAAAAAATGGTGTAATAAAAATCAGTTCAAGTTCAATGATTGAAACCTCATCATGTGAGGTATTGAATTATATTTACTTGAAACCGCACTATGCGCGGTATTTCTGAATAGTGAATTATGATTGGTTTAAATCGCACTATTCGAGGTTTTTCTGAATAGTGTATCATAGTTTATAGGAACCGCACTATGCGATGCATTACTGTATAGTGAATCAGGATTGATTGAATTCGCAATATCCGAGGTATTACATACTGTATCAAAATAGCTTGAAACCTCACTACGAGATGTATTGCTGTATAGTCAATTAGGATTGATTAAACTGTTATATGCAAAGTATTTCTGTATACTGAAGCAGAATAAATTAAAACCGCACTATGCAAGGTATTACTGTATAGAGAATCAGAATAGATTGAAACCATACTATACAAAGAATTGATGTAAAGTGAATCGGTATAGTGAAATATTAGATTGAAACCGCTCTATGTGAAGTATTGCGATATATTGAATTATAATTCATTCAAACCGCATTATGCGTGTTATTGCTGTATACTGAATCAGAATAGCTTGAAACGCACTACAATATATATTGTTGTATAGTAAATCAGGTTTTATTTAAACCTCACTATGTAAGGTATTGCTATATAGTGAAATATTAGATTGAAATCGCTCTATGCGAAGTATTGCTGTATACTGAATTAGAATAGCTTGAAACCGCACTATGCAAAGAATTGATGTAAAGTGAATCGGTATAGTTAAATATTAGATTGAAACTGCTTTATGCGAAGTATTGCTGTATACTGAATTAGAATTCATTGGAACCGTATTATGCAAGATATTGATGTATACTGAATCAGAATAGCTTGAAATCGCACTATGAGATGTATTGCTGTATAGTCAAATGGGATTGATTTAAACCGCACTATGTAAGGTATTGCTTGTACAGTGAAACAGAATAGATTTAAACCGCACTGTGCAAAGAATTGGTGTAAAGTGAATCGGAATAGATTGAAAATGCTCTATGTGAAGTATTGCTGTATTTGAATTCATTAAAACCGCATTGTGCGAATAGCTATATAGTGAAATATAATTCATTGAATCCGCACTATGGCAGGTTTTGCTGTATTAGTTAAAACTACATTATGCGAGTTATTACTGTATAGTAAATCAGGACTGATTGAAACCGCACTATGTTAATGTTTTTGTGTTCATGTAGATGAAATTTTTGTTTTATTAAGTTTTTAATTTTATATTGATTTTTACTTTATATTATTTTTTTTGTATTTGTGGTGAATAAATAATTGTTAAATGTTTCTCATGATGTTTTTTTCTGTTTTATTAAAGCTTACACTCCTAATGCAGTTACGCTCTCAAATTCGCTGTCATTCGTTTCCATAACTACCAACATCTTACTGGTAAGTAAATCGCATTTTTTTGCTACTTTGTTGGTACACCTGTCACAAATATTTATAGCATTTAACAATTATAGCAATATTTGTTTATCACGATGATTACGCACCCACATAATAATAGCAAAATTCTTAAATGAAATCATTAAAGAACAAACCTTTTTGTTTTTAATTAATGTAAACTCATATTCCGATTTTTTTTCTTTGATGAATAATATATATAATAGCAATGTGACTATCAAATTAGTTATTATTAAAGTTTTTAATCTTATATATAAAACTGGATATTTCATTATTTTATTCAAATTTAATTAATTATTAGTATTATCAAATTTCCATACATTTTTTTTGAAAGCAATGTTTTACACATATGGAACATTATATTTTACAGGTAACTTGAAGTCCCTTAAAGCATACCGCCTTTCAAAGCCCACTTTGTGTTTGATTTATGTTTTCTAGCGTACCCAAGGGTCCACTTTGGGAAACAGGAAACCTATTAAAATAGCAACACAAATATTAACTATTATTATTATGTACATATGACAAACTAAATCTTAAAGCAAACAATAAATACAAACAGACATTATTAATTTAATCTTCAACAAATATAAACAACTAACTAGTTAGTATACAATTTCATATTTTTGTAATAACGGAACCACAAACTTCTTGTACTTCATAAACCGAAATCATCATGTAATCAACCTACAAAATTCTGTTCGTAAACAGATCATAAAAAAAATATATTATATAAGAGAGACAATCAAATTAATCATTTAAAAAAAGTTTAACCCTGATTGTTTAATTTTGGATGTTGTTGTTTTCAATTATTTTTTCATTTGATATTTACAAAGAAGTTTAATAATTATTTATTGCTGTATATAAAACTACTTATTGTTAACATTTGTTGTATTTAACCATAATATACTATTATACAAATAAAAATAAACATTTATAAATAAAAAACATATATAACAAAAAAAAACTACTAACAGTTTATCTATATTTTACGTGAATTATTTTAACATTTTTGGAATTTATGTAATACATTTAAAGTAATATTTAATGAACGTAAGCATTTTCTAAAAGCAAAACCTAGTTCTTTTTATTTTGTATCATTTGTTCGGAAACTAATACTTCTGAGAATCAACATTTAGCTGTGTTTTATTTTCTGTGTATTATTTTTAATATTATTATATAAATACAAGTATTTATTTAGCAAAAGGTTGTATTTTTCACTACCTTACTTGGGCTTATTAGAATACACAAAACTAAATATTTAATGAAATAATATATGCGTTTTCCAAGTGAGAATTTTATATTTTTGATCGTTGATCGTATCTTTCTAAATTTTGTATGTTTCATATAATATTGGGTAAAGTAAAAAGTTCTGAGCGTGTTGTCCCATACATACAGCTTCTTCTTGAGACCAAACTTATGCAGATGGCTCCAAATGGTTTTCTGGCTAATTTGCAGTTCCTGAGCCAACATTTTCCTTGATTTTATTAACATTTTTGATGATTGGCCTACCAAAGCGTGTCTCATGTTCGATGTCCATATTACCAGAACAGAAGTATTAGAACTAACGCTTTGTTGTTGCATTTGATACTGTATTGGGTCCATAAAAAACATTTTTTTTTGGCGAATCTACTTTTCTTTTTTTTACCACCAACACACAACTGGATCACTAAACACAAAACTGTCAAAGAACTTTTTTTAAAGCGTTATGTCGCCTTTAAGTTTTATAGTATGACAAGATTCAAGATGTATACATAGTGAGATATGTGGCTCACTAAAGTAATATAACAAAAGACGCTCAGAACTTTTTATTTCGCCCAATATATTTAGAACGAATCAATTTAAATGCCTAATAATTATATTTGATATTATTTTCTAAAAAAAAAATTATTTTTAGGTATATTCTACGAGTTGTGTTTACTATTTTATTTCCTATTTTGCTTTTTTTACAATTTTTCTACGTAAAGCAATTAAATAAAACTTTATTTAATTAATAATCATTTCATAAAAGTTCAACTGTGATGTTTTTTTTTGTATCATTGATCGAGAACCGAGACTTTCGAGAATCGAAATTTAGCTTTTTTTTTCTATTTTTTGTGTAACATATCAACGAGGCAGCTATTTATGATACTTTGACATTATTTATTCCAAGCAAAACAAACTTTATTAACATAATCATAATGTTAACCTAGATTATTAGATTTTGGATCATTGTTCGAGAACCAAATCTGTCCAAAAATTAATTTCAGCTTAATAATTATATTTGATATTGTTAGCTAAAAACAAACATTTGTCTCCAGTTTCTTTGGAAAATTTGTATTTAATCATCTCTTAAGTCGATTCTGTTATCATTTCTGCAGTTATCACAAAATATAATCATGTAGATTAATACAATGAAATCAATATTTCTTAAACGATTAATATTGTTTTCTAAAAGCTAAACCAAACTAATTTTGTTTTGAATTTATGTTCGGAAACCGATTCTTATTAATAAAACTAATATCAGATTTATTTCCACTTTGACAAACAAATATGGAGAACAATAAAATAATTAACTTAATAATTTAATTTATGAGAAACTTCAAAAGCAAATCCATACAAAAGGATAATATTTAATTAAGAAAATGTCAGGATACAATCGTTTGTATGTATTTATTAAAATCTACTCAGTTATAATTATATTACATCCTAGTATAATCTGTTCTTAACAAGATTGGCCACATCGCATTGGAAGCCCGAGGCTATAGAGTTTTCCTCCATTTGTTATGCAAAACAACAAATTAGTTTCCTCCATTTATCCAATGCAGGGACAGGGCGCGCCCCGCTCTCGGGAGATCGAGCGCAATTTGTAATTAGTGTACCTGTAGAATGATCAATTATTGCTACATTTATACAGCAAGAAAGGAGCATGAAAAAGAAAACAACATTGATTGATCACGAGAAAATGGCGTACTTTATACATGTTTGTATGTGATTTGTTACAGTCAATTCGAATGCGACTATATAAATATTTAAAGATGGAAAAGCATGCACAGTCCAATTATTCTCAATTTCTCCCCCATTAGACACAATTCCTTTTCATCTTCTCGATGCACGAAACCTTTTTCTCTCATTAAAATATACATACTCTTTGCGTTATTCGGTTTAATCAATGCTCAATGCTAAATGAAAAAGAAGTGAACAAAATAAAAGAAAATTAATTTACGTGAAAACTAAACAAACCGTAAATTAAAAATAAAGGATTCTGTATTTTTTGCGGCTACTTAAGTTTGAATGGAAATATGAATTTCCAATTAAATTTTCTCGTCGCTTCTGACTATGACGGTTGTTTTTTTAGACCGCTAAAAACCGCAGTTGGGGTTGTGAATTCCTATTCATTCATTATATCATCAACATCATGAATGTTGATTGCGCTTCTGGGTGAAACTGAGATAATAAAGAATTTAACTCGGAACAAAAATAGAAGACTAAAAAAAGGAAGCTATATATGATATAATAATAAGCGACGAATGAAGCAAAAATGAGATGCTGGATGTATGCAGGATATAAAAGTAGATTGGAAAATCCGGGAGATGCGAGGATGGAAAGGAGATAGGACGTTACACCGAGTGAGAATTTGCATTTAAATTTGTTCTAATATGGACGGAAGTGCCGCACGGTTTCGGATTATGCGCGAAACGGAACGCATCGAACAGGGGAAAAAATAATTCGCTCACGAAGAATAAACGCAACGCGAGTATTGTACTTTTTTTTTGTTCGTATTCCGGCTTGAAATGGATGAAATTCAATAATAATATATATTATTTATTTCGCACCACTTATTTATTTCATTTGAAAAACTAATTAAATGTGCAATTAATTAACATGATACGCGTATTGATTTTTGTAATTCCCATGTTTACATGTAAATAATGGAAAAAAACGTGCAACAATGTTAATATTTGAAAATTATATAAGAAAACCCCGGAAACATTACAAAAAAATTGTAATTAAAATTCGGATATAAAATCGATTAAATTGGCAGCAAACAATAATTTATATTAATCATAAATTATATTAGACTCTCAGATAAAATAAAATTTGATATATAATATATTATTTAAAAGAAATATATTAATATGAAAATATATATTTTTATGAGTGTTAATCGATTTTAATTGATTAGTTTAGTCTTTGAAAAAATTTAAATAGATTTAATTTTTTGATAAAATAGTACATATGTGTTCGAAATTATGTTCGTAGAACAAAGCTTGTTTGTTATGTCTTTGAATTTTTTTAAAATAATTTATTTTTTTGATTTAAAACAACTGATATTTGAAATTATGGTCGTAAAGCGTATAACTACAAAAAAGGAATAAATAAAGAATCGCATTAACATTAATTCAATTCGGTAACTTTTTTCCACCCTCTCCTGTTATATCTATGAAAATATCTAATTATTACCGAATATAAACAGATTTTAATAAATTCTTTCGAAATTATGTTCATAATCAGAGAACTATTTGTTTTGTTATCTGAAAGATATTAAATGGATTTAATTCTTTGATTTAAAAAATGATATTTTTAAAATTGTGTTCGTAAACCGAGGGCACTTTGCTCTATCCGTAAAATATTTGAAATGGATTTAATGCTTTGACAGACATGTTCATATGTCCGTTATTTTAGAATATCCACTTTATTACGTGATAAAATAATAATTAATTATTTTTAAGTTTTTAAAGTTATAAAAAATATAAAAAAAAATCTATCCGTAAGCAAAATTTTTAATTAAAATGAAGATGAAAGAGTAGTTGAAGTGAAAGTTCCGAAGTTAAATTAAAAAATGTTCGTAAACTAGTAAACTGGGTATAGAGCAGCGATGAATGCAGTGACCAAAGCTAATCATTAATTCTTTCTCAAATTCTTATTTTTTTTATTATTTAATTTTTATTTACGCCTTTTGTTTTATTTTAAAGTTTCTGGCTATATTAAAACATATAAAGTGTTAT